CCTGCGATGAGGCGCCGAGATCGGCCCCTCTCTCCCACCTCACCCGCCCGGCCCTCTTTCCCACCTCACCCGCCCCGCCCCTCTCTCCCACCTCACCCGCCCCGCCCCTCTCTCCCACCTCACCCGCCCCGCCCCTCTCTCCCACCTCACCCGCCCCGCCCCTCTCTCCCACCTCTACCCGCCCCGCCCCCCTCTCCCACCTCACCCGCCCCGCCCCTCTCTCCCACCTCACCCGCCCCGCCCCTCTCTCCCACCTCACCCGCCCCGCCCCTCTCTCCCACCTCACCCGCCCCGCCCCTCTCTCCCACCTCTACCCGCCCCGCCCCTCTCTCCCACCTCTACCCGCCCCGCCCCTCTCTCCCACCTCACCCGCCCCGCCCCTCTCTCCCACCTCTACCCGCAGACCTCCACCTTCGACTCGCTCGTCGCCGACGTCGAGGCCGCGTACGAGACGGTGACCGGCGAGCCACTGCAGCCGCAGTAGCGCCGCCGCCGTCCCCGGGAAGGAGGGTCGCGCCGGCCACCGCGATGGCTGGGCCCGTTGGGGGGGGGAGGCGTCTCGTACGTACTGCCCGTATGGCCGCGCAGCGTTGCATGGGTTGCATGGTCAATGCGTGGTGGTCCGTGTGGTTGTTGGTACCGCGGCATGGGGGTCTGCGGGCCGGGCCGCAGGCACGCACCGTCACACCGCGCACGTCAGCCGAGACCCGAGAGACACAGCATCGGACTCAGCCTCATCGCTCATGCTCACCCCTCTAGCTTCTTATTATCCTGAGAGATTCATTGTTCGTAAATCTGTTCAGTTCTCTTAGGCAAAACACACAGAGTCCACCTCTGCCTGGGCTCTGCACATCTTGCGCGGAGTGCCCGGTTTTCCGCGCGCACTCGCGCAGCCCCGCAGGCGCAGCCGCGGTTGGTTCTTCGGAGCGCGGAGAGAGGACGAGAAGCCCCCCTCTCGAACCCACTGACACACGCACCCATGGGGCGCGACACTGTCTCGCGCGACACTGCTCACTCGCCACAGTCTCACGCCCGTCACATGCAAATTGGCAAACGAACCGATTCTCGCCGGCGGCGGCGCAGTATCTGGAAGATACATTCGTAAAGAGATGGAGGCAAAGAGACGTCTCTTCCTAGGAGCACGCCGTGTACGTACGGCTCTCTGGGCTTCGCGCGCCGCTGTGGTCGGCCACAACGAATGTGAAAACCGCACCTCAGCCCTGCGTGCGGTTCCCCTTCAGCGCCGCCACCTCGACCCGGCGGATCTTGTGGTTGCCGGAGTCCGCCACAAACAGCGCTGGCGTCGGGGCTAATGGCGATGCTAGTTGGGTCCTTGAAGTGCGCCGCGCCGCCCACGCTATCCGTCCACACAGAGCTCCGCGTTTATAGAGCCGTATGTGCGCACCACGCGAGTTCGGTGCAAGCCCGCACCCTCAATCCACCAAGGCGTGCTCGTACACAGGCACAAAGGGAAAGACCTGGTGTCCCCAATGGCTCATAACTTGCTGCATCCGAGCGGCGCCGAGGCGTGTGGCCCGGTGGAAAGAGGGTGAGGTACCTCACGAGATCGCCTCGAGGTGATGTGCCTCGCGTCTCGCCTAAAGGAAGCAGTGCCACCTGCGATGAGACGCTGGTGCCGCCTCAAACGCCGCGGTGCGCGGTGTCCCTCCCCTCGCATCAGCCGCCTTGACTCGCTCCACCACTCGACGAGCACGCGCACCTGGTGCACAGCTGGGCGTGAAGCGAGGTCCAGTGGCACCAACCATCTCATCTAATCCGAGCCCACGCAGCTATGCAGCGATGCACCGCCAGAGCGTGCCGTCGAGCGAGACGTTGGCAGTCAGTCTCAGCCCGCGGTCTCGCTCGCGCCGCTCGGCGCCTGGATTTGCGTGTGGTAAACGTCCACAGGCTCTCCATCGTCGCCGGGTGCGAGGAGACGGCGCGCGTACAGAGAGCAGCCTCTAGCCCAGACTTTTGGCCTCGGCTGCTCGATACATCGATATGACAATGACATTCAAGTCACCCATTTCTGACCAGACCTCTCATGAACGAACGATGAGAGCCAGGGAGATCGGCCCGAATAGCCTTGACTCGGCGCATTGCAGCAGCAAATGAGAACTGTTCGGGCTGAGTGCACATGCGACTCGGGCTGCGGTTCTTTTGCGGTTCTGGGTTCAGCCCTGAGGTGGTGCCGAGGGCGAGGTGCGGGCGGCGGAGCAGTCTGGGGTGGACGTGCAGTCGAGGGGGTGGGCGGAGCCAGCGAGGAGCAAGTTGGAGACGCGCGCGGCCGCGCTGGAGATATGCGGGCGCGCCGCTGCAGGTTTTGCCCTCCGCCCGCCGGTCCAGGGAGGTTGCTTGTAGGAGTCATAAGTCAACCAACGATCAACCAACAACCAAACGACCATGGCACGCACCAAGCAGACAGCACGCAAGTCGACCGGCGGCAAGGCGCCCCGCAAGCAGCTCGCCACCAAGGCGGCGCGCAAGTCGGCCCCGGCCACCGGCGGCGTCAAGAAGCCGCACCGCTACCGCCCGGGCACTGTCGCGCTCCGTGAGATCCGCCGCTACCAGAAGTCGACAGAGCTGCTGATCCGCAAGCTGCCCTTCCAGCGCCTGGTGCGCGAGATTGCGCAGGATTTCAAGACAGACCTGCGCTTCCAGTCGTCGGCCGTCGTCGCGCTCCAGGAGGCGTCCGAGGCCTACCTGGTTGGCCTCTTTGAGGACACCAACCTGTGCGCCATCCACGCCAAGCGCGTCACCATCATGCCCAAGGACATCCAGCTGGCCCGCCGCATCCGTGGCGAGCGCGCGTAAGCGTCCGGCTCATCCAAACCCCGGTGTTTCTCAACACCACCCTTCCTTCTCCGGACGGAAAGACAAAGAGTGAGAGGGAAAGAGTGTGTTGTTTGTGAAACCTGTGTAACTGGCGCGCTGCCCCGCCGCGGTGACCGGTGTTCATTCATGAGGTTAGCGTGTACGACGCCTGAGAGCGACGCGGGCCGCACGGGCGTTGTCGTGGCGCTGGTGATAGTGGGCGAACACACACACACACACACACACACACACACACACACACACACACACACAACCATCAAACAGGATTCACAAACAACACTCAACCTAACACACTCAACCTAACATTCAACCTCTCCCCCCTTCGAGCACGCGACCAGCCATTTTGCATTTACGTTTATAATCTAAAAGTCATCAAAGAGGCGCGGGCATTGCATTGGGTCCGACAGCTTGGGTATGCATATGGGGTGCCTCCGCTGCTCACGCGTGTCTGCCCACAGAACCAAAGCGTCCTCGCACGGCGCAACTACAGTCCGTCCCCCGCGTCACGCGCACCATTGCTTCCCGCCTCACACACCAAATACACCCACCGAATGCTCGCGCGCCTTCCTCAGCCGTCGCACTGGGTTTCCCCATGTTGACAGGAACAGGAAGGGATGAGCACACAGTTGCTGATCCTCTGCTTGGCCCTGGGAGGCAGCAACATCACGGTCTCCAGGCGGGAATTGACTGCGCGGGCACTCGAGGCGTGGCGCGGGCCGCGGCGCAGGTCCGTGACTCAAGTCAGTAGTCGAGTCTCGAGACGTCCTCACGCTCCGCGTATCATCTGCCTGTAGTATCCTCGCGAATCCGGCGCCCCTTGTCGCGCGCTTTGTCTCGCACGCGCCTCAGATCGATCGATCGACGATCGGCGCTCAAAAATCGACTTCAGATCCGAGAACGCTGCTGGCGCCGCCGCCGATCCCAGTGGGGTGGTAAAATTCAGAAAGAATTTTACAACAAAGCTCCCTCGCGCAAGAAAAGAATTTTGAGGGAAAAATCTGAGGCGCACGTCCCCGCTCAGAGCTCAGGGCTCCAGCCAGGAGAGAGCGAGTCATGTTGCTCTCGCTTCTCGCTTCAACCAGTGGCAGTCTCTACTCGCCGCATCCGTACCCTTCGCAGCCTCCTTTCTTCGAGGGCTGGTACACACGCATCATCGCCGAAAGCAAAAGCTTTGGCGTGATCTTTGGTCACGTGTTTGCCGGCAGCGCCGGAGACAGCGGCAAGGGCCCACTCCCGACAACGTACGTGGCACTCCTTCGAGCAGCAGACGTCGGGGAACCTATGGAGGTCCACAACTGCTATCCGAATGGACGGAACGTCACCATCGGCGGCCAGCCCGTCAACTCTCCTCCCGACGTCCAAGGCCCGCCGGCATTTGAGTGGCGCAGCTCGGCCGGCGCCTTCATCGTCACCGCAGAAGAAACGTCCATTGACATCACTTGCGACGGCGTCCGCTTCGTTGCCGAACTCGACGGCGCCACGCCATGGAGCGCCGGCGGCTATGGTCCCGGCGGCCGCCTCTCTCAGCTGCCGCTGCCGCTGCACTGGTTTGTCTATTCTCTACGCTCGCGAGTGCGGCGTTACGTGTGGTCGTCCACCGCTGGCGTAAGCGACGAGGGTGTGGATGCGTGGGCCCACCAAGAGAAGAACCACGGCAAGGCCTTCCCGTCCTCGTGGACGTGGTCGCAAGCCCTCGACACGACCTCCGGTGCCGCCCTCGCCCTCTCCGGCGGCCCTCTCTTCGAGGGGTTGCCGCCCGCCTACCTGGTGGGCTATCGGCACCCGGCGGGCAGCGGAATCGCCATCGACTTTGCCCCGGCCAACGGCAAGCTGAGCGCCGAAGTGAATGGGTGCGACGGCTCCCTCCGCCTCGTCGGCACGCACCCGCTCACGGGCCACCGGCTCGAGGCAAATGTCACCGCGCGACCGTCCGAGCTGCGCCGTTGTCTGCTCGGTCCCACTGCGACCGGCTTCGCCCCCGTGTGCGTCGAGTCGTACGCCGCCAACGCATCGGTCGCTGTCTACCAGTGGGGCCGGCGGCTCGTCTCGTCCGAGATAACATCCGCAGCGCTCGAGTTTGGCGGCGACTACATCTGCAAGCAGCGCAACCCATGCCACGCGCCGTCGCCGACGGTGCCGACGCAACCAATGGGCAATGCGACGGCTGCCGCCACGATTGCCACCGCCGCCACTTGAGCCACCACCGTCCCGAGTCCGAACTGGAGTCCGCAGCGATATAGGTAGGTCTTGAGTATGTTGTAGACTTGCTTCCGAGCACCGAGGGTGGACGCTATTGAACTCCGTCTGCACACGCGCTGTTGGAAGGTGCACCGTTGGCGGCACGCATGCTCCAAGCGGAGTGATGGGCGGAGCGTACAGGAGATGTCGCTGGGATGCGCGCGACGCTACGTAGGGGCGTGTGGGCTGTGTGGCAGTCCCCCGCCCGCGGGACGAGCTGAGGGTCCTGTGGGGCTCTACGGCTTTCAGAATAAGAAGCGGGGAAAACATGAGAAGGAGAAACGAGAGGAGCAGCGATCACGCAGCAGCTAGCAGGCTGGCATGCCCGGGGCCACAGGTAGAGGGGCACAAAACAGAACAAGAGAGCAGGTATGTCGATCGCTCGATCCGCGCGAGACCGCTGTGATGCGTGTGAAACCCGACCCTAAGCCAACACAAAGAATTTAAACAAAAGAACTCTCTCTCTCAGCAAGACAGGCTCGACACAGGTGCGGACTGGCGCGCGTGCGAGCACTATCACAGCCAACACAAAGAAATACTTGCGGCCGCTGGTCACTGGAAGGGCGCCCGCTCGCCCGTCGCTCTTTAGCCACTGACTGCATGCTGAGAAGCGCTCTCTCGCTCCTCCTCCTTCGCGTGCCGTGTGCACAACGTGAGTGTACACACTCTCCATGTTGTTCTCGGATCTCGGACTCGCCCGCACGTCACTCTCGTGCCCCGTGTGCCCTACTGTATAAGCTTGTAGGCTGTATGCGCATATACAGAGCGTGTGGCGCCTCTTCCGCTGTCCGTGGCGGGTACGGCTCTACCGCGCGGGCGGGGTCTTTCGTGTTTTAATTCAAACTTTTGTTCGCGTTTCGGCTGATCGCAGATCGCACGACTCCAAGTGTTGTGTGCGGTGTGTGACACAGATCATCTGTTGACATCTCCCGCTCCCGCAAAGCCGCACCCCGAGACATGCTGACCGGACACGCACCGTGATGCCAGATCACAACTGGCGGCGTTCCACCGGCGGGTGTGGGTGAGTCGTGAGTGAGAGACGCATCCCAACCATCTGCCCCCCCACCCCACCCCACCCACACCCCCGGTCATGCTCGGCCTCCCTGGCCCATGCACACACCCATGCACGGCCGAATCGCTCGGCACCCGAACTCGGCCCAAAAACGGAACAGAGGGGGGAGGGGCGACTCCAGAGGCGGCGGCCGAAACAGACACGGCGCGGCCCGGGGCGGGTCACCTCGGGTCACCTCGGCCTCAGGCGGGCTCGTCCACCGCCCCTCCGCTGTGCGCGTACCGCTCGACGAGGTCGGACCAAAGCACGGGCAAGCCGGTCGCCATCGACTCGTGCGCCTGCGTGCTGGAGACGGCAAGCCTCAGGGCGGGAAGACACGGGACTGTGCAGAGTCCTCAGAGCAGCGTAGAGCGGAGTGCGTGTCCTCTCGGTGTACTCGAGTGCTCGCTGGACAACAAGAGTCCGTGCTCCGCCCCTCGGCTGGCGCTGCCCCGACGCCAATCATCACCGCAACCATCTCTCGGCCACATCTCGGCTACATCTCGGCCATATCTCGGCTACATCTCGGCTACATCTCGCCCCAACGCCCATCATCACCGCGAGCGCGCCGTCCTCGAGCGTCACGTCCGGCTTGGCGCCTAATCTCGCGTCATCTCGCGTCATCTCGGCCCGTCTCGTCGGGGGAGAGAGGGGTGTGGGGGGGGGTGAGGGAGAGAGAGAGAGAGGGAGGGAGGGAGGGAGGGAGAGAGCGTCCGGTTCGGCACCGGAAGACAGGGCGGCGGCGACGAAGCGGTGCAGCTCGTAGTAGGTGGAGCCGGCATGGTCTCCAGCCTGCATCAGCCGAATCTATACCTTCTCGGCTCATCTCGGCTCATCTCGGGAGATTGCAGTCTCGCCTGCATCAGCCGAATCTCAACCTTCTCGGCTCATCTCGGCTCATCTCGGGAGATTGCAATCTCGCGCCTGCATCAGCCGCGCGTCAATCTTCTCGTGCGCCTCGACGATCGTGCCGCACTCGAGGTCGGCGGGCGGCCGCGCGCGCTCCTACCCTCGGCCAGTCTGGGTCGAACTTCTGGGCGAGCTCTCGCTCGGCTCTCGGCGAGCTCTCGGCGAGATCTCGCTCCTCGTACTCTGCGATGAACTTTGCGGAGCGGAGGCAGCGGCGGAAGTTGACCTGAGGTGAGGTACGGTGAGGTGAGCTTCACCACACACACGAGGTGTAGGTGGTGGGGCAAGGGCCAGGCAGCCCCTCGCGTCTCCAGGTCTAGACGACAGGAACCCCACGGCATTCAAAGGGCAAGGCCCGGTGCGCGCGCGCGCGCGCGCGCGCGTGTGTGTGTGTGTGTGTGTGTGTGTGTGTGTGTGTGTGTGTGTGTGTGTGTGTGTGTGTGTGTGTGAAGTGTACCTCGCTCTCGTCGTCCTGCTTCGTGCCGTGCGACGGCGCGAACGCCTCGAGCTTCCCGCGCGTGCCGACCAGCGAGACCTGTTCCACCGCTGCGAACCGTGAAGAGACGCTGTTCACACCTCGGGGCCGCGTCCGCGCGTGAAGACAAGACGCTGTTCACACCTCCTCCTGGTGCTTTGACGCCTCGGCGAACATGCACAGCTCGAGCATCGCGCGCGCGCCCGACTGGAAGTCGACGATCACGTATGCGCTGTCGAGCACGTCGCTGTCGACGCTCTTGTGGTTGACCTCCTGCCCGCCGCTCGCAAAGATGCGCCGCGGCTCCGAGCGGAGGATGCGACGCCTAGAAAACAAGACACGCCCCCTCCCGGGAAAGAAAGAGGCGGCCGGGCTGCGGGCGAGGGCACGGTGCGCATGAGGTCGAAGAAGTGGACGCACTTCTCGACGAGAGTGCCGCCGGTGCGCTCGTTGGTGCGGTTCCAGTTGCCAACCTTCAACGCCACGCGGCGACGTCAACGCACGGACCCCCTCCGCGCCTTGGTGCGGCTCCAGCCTTCTTTAGGAAGGGTCTAGGAGGGGTCTAGGAGGGGTCTAGGAAGTGGCTAGCCTTCTTTAGGAAGGGGAAGCGGTGCTCGCGGATCGACAGCATGCGGAGGTCGCCGATCAGGCCCTGGTCCGCCTACACACAAGGAACGGGCCATACAGGAGACATACAAACGGCGGCAGGTCGCCGATGAGGCCCCGCCTCTTGGATCAGCCGCGCGATCGCCGGGATGTACCTGCGGACGCGTCGTGGACATGCCATTGGGCGTGTCAGTGGACTGCAGCGCAGCTCTGTGTCGCGGCGGGGCGGCGAGAGCTACGCGCACAGCAGCCGACGGCGTATCGTCGAGACGGTGCCGGCCGACAAAAGAGAGTGTGCCGGCCGGCCAGGAATCGCTCTGTGCGAGGAGCTGCGTGTGGCTCTCTGGGCTTGCGCACCGGTACTCCATCCCGCACCACAGCAGCGGCGCGGTGCCGCCGAAGCCGCCGGGCTGCCTCGCCAGCGCCACCGTCTCTGCGCAGTGCGAGATGAGCGTGCAGAGCGGCTTCTCAACGAGGCAGTGCTTGCCCGAGGCGAGGACCTGCCGCATCACCGCGTGGTGCGTGTCGTTGGGCGTGCACACGAGCACGGCGTCGACATCGCTCAGCTGCAGCATCTCGGCGTCGCGCTCCAGCGCGATCACCTCACGCACGCCGGCGTGCTGCAGCTCGGCAAGCGCTGTCTGCCGCGACGGCTCGTGAGGGTCGGCGATCGCGACCACGCGGACCGACGGAAGAAGCAGCGCGTTGCGAATGTGCTCCATCCCGATGCAGCCCGTCCCGATGACGCCCAGGCGGAGCTCACCCTGTTGGTTGGGCATCTCTCTTGTCGCTGTCGCTAGAACGGTCGCGTTGACGGAGCCTGCGCCGGCCAAGGACCGATGAAGCCCTTGCAAAAAAAAGGGGCTTCACGGGCAGCCAAATCGCGCTATCACCCTGGATCCCTGACACCGTTGATATACGGTCGGACATGGTCGCGCTTCCCGGCGGATGAGCACAATCAAAAAGAAGTGAGGCATAACGCGGGTGTTGAGCCTGTCTGAGCCTGGCTGTTCTTCACCTTGGTTCTACCCTTAGACCTACCTGTCTGCTGTACTCAAGAGAGAGAACGACGAGAGTGGAAGACCGCGAGGTGGCATGAAGGTTGCAGCGAGAATCGGCGAGGGACTGCGAAGAGAGATAGGAAGAGGCAGACGCCCAAGCCCCAAGGGTGGGCGACGGATAGCGCACCACACCCCTCTTCTTAAAAGCCCTGTGTGGTGGCGGCGTGCCGTCCTCCCATCCCTCCCTTGGGTGGTCTGCTTTCTTTCTTTCTTTCTGTCTGCTGTAGAGTTGATTTTCTTAAATTCTTAAAATCTGAAAGAGTTTCCTGCCAGTTGCTCTTACGTACATTCCCTGTTCTCTCTTTTCTTTCTTTCTTTACATTCCCCTGAACACGACCCCCTGAACACGACCCCCGGGGGGCTCCACGCACGGATACCCGATTGCGCGTAGCAATGTCGCCATCAGCAGCCAATATGTGGATTGGAAGGATCGATCACCGATGGGACGAGGCAATCATGATGATGCCCGCAAGGACCAGCACGGCGCCGACCGCCCAGATCCCGATCGACATCGCGCCTTGGACCTCCCTGAACAGGCACACCCCCCACGTGCTGCTCACCACCAAGTTGCATTGCACGGCGCTGTACCCCAGCGCCAGCCCCAGCCCCGCCATGTCGCCCCACCCATTGACTGCCACCGCCGAGCACACGTTGCCCACGGCCCAGAGACAGCCCGACGCCAGTCCCCGCCGCCAGACAACCCGGCACTGCGCCACGTATAGCGGCACGCTTCTCCAGTTGATGCACCACAGCACGGCGATCACCAGCAGCGCCGTGCTGCCAAACGCCAGCGAGTAGCTGGCATAGTCTGCGGGCGCTCGGCTCATCCCGTGCGTGGGCACCATGATGGACCCGCCCCAGATGCCGTTGAAGCACACCGCGGCCATGCCGACCCGCCACTCGGATGGCGCCGGCACGGGGTGCGCGGCGGCGGGCTGCTGCTGGCCGCCCCCTGCATGCGCGCCGCCGCCGTTGCTGACGACCAGCTCGTGAGACCTCAGCGCGCCCTTCTCCACGAGCTGCTCTTGATCAGTAGGAGCTGTTGAGGACGCCGCCTGGACCGGTTGGCTCAGGTCCAAGTGGGAGTGTTGACCGGCAATGCGGTTCATCTGCCGCTCACTGAACTTCTTCGCGTTGATACCGGCTAGAATACCGCAGGTGGTCAACGCTAGACCCATGATGCACGTTCCCTCCAATTGCTCAGAAAACATACAGGCCCCCCATAGTACATTGACTGCCACCAAGAGACCAGCCACACACGTCTGCGTGACCGTGATGCCGATTGCATTCACCGCATAGACATAGGCCACCGTCGCAGGGGCCCAGCATATGGCACTCGCTGCCCCTCGCCAAAGAGCCTCCGACATGTCTGGACACCCCTCCGAAAGCCACAGTCCGAGCCCCAATAGAAAGCAACACGAGGTGGTGAACGCAGCCATCACCTGTGGGTACGGCTTATTGCCGGTCCACTTGATCGGAACTGCGAAGCTGCCAAACGCAAGGACTGCCAGGATCAGGCATGCCACTGGCCCTATGCAAGGGCGAATACGGCCGTCTAAGTCACGGGGAGGACCTGTCGAACCAGCTGCTGGAGTGACTCGCATCGCGCAAAAGTGGCAGAGGTGGTCGGCGGGTTTGGCATTTTTTGCGCCATGGTGAGCAGTGAAGCACCGAGATCCTGGACTGGTTTGCAGGCAAACCGCGCGCTATATCTTTTGTGACTCTTGAGCACTTGAGCACTGGATAGGGTCGATTCCGCATGGTACGGGACCCCATGAATTGTGACTCTTGCAACATTCGCAAGAAGAAAGATCCATTCGCATGGGCGGGCGGCGCTATTCCGGCGATGTCAAGGTCGTCTGCCCCCTCACTCAGCAGCGGCGGGGAAACACGCTACACGCGATCGCAGTATGGAAAAAAGAGACGGAGGAGCAGCGAGAGCCGTGGCGTGAGCCAAAGATACTCACCTTCTTTTCCGAATCAAGAAATATAGGAGCCCGCGGGGCCGCGGCGCGGGGTAGCGGGTTGCCGGTTGGACAAGACGAAAAGAGGGGGGACCGCCGGGGGGAGCAAAAAACACTCGAGGAGGACAACTCGAGGAGCAACCCTCTCGAGGCTTGTCGATTAGAGTTAGTTGTTGTAGAACTGAGAGAGCCGTCACATACTTCATGAGGCCGCCGTGCGTTTCACGGACCTCAACGCTCCACCCTCAACTGTCACAGCCAATGATGCCTGGAGCGCGCCTGTTGCTGCGGAGGGAACTGCGCAAGAACACACATACAAGGATACCGACCTCCGTAGAGGTGTCGCGCGTGTGCAGATGTGAGTCAGACAGCACACGCCTCAACTGTCCCGTCTGGATCAATGGCAATCTCTGCGCGCGTGGACCCCCCCCCCCCC